CTAGGTCAGTGGTTCTCAACCTTCCTAATGCCACAACCCTCAATAGAGGTCCTCATGTTGTGTGTCCCCCCAACCATAAACTTATTTTCATTGCTGCTTCATAACTGTATTTTTGCTACTGTTAGGAATCGGGTGACCCCTGTGAAAGGGTCTTTTGACCCTCAAAGGGGTCACGATCCACAGGTTGAGAACTACTGCTCTAGGTGAAGAGAGCATTTTCCGCTGCCCTCTTGGTGGTCAGCTAGATCCTGATAAGAATCGTGAGGATAAAGTTGATGCTGTTTCAAAACTCCTCAGATCCTCACTTGGGAATATCAACCCAAGATCTAGATGCTTATGAAGTGATGAGAAACGTTCTCTTTAAGATATAAGGAGCAGCTCTTTCATGACCTACATAACCTTCATAACCCCATACTCGAATTGTGAGCTCCAGCATCCCTGCCTGACTATAGACTGTATTGACTGGGTTGTCCCTGGGTCGTGTAAATGGTTATTGTACACTACTGCTAACAGCAGGGTTGGTGGTTCGAGTTCACCAAGAAGTGCCTTGGAAGAAAGGGCTGGTGATCCACTTCAGACATACCATTAGAGTGATAGAATTATAAGATCCAACGAGAAACAGGCAACCACCCCCATCCAGCATCGGAGCTCAGCTCTACTCAGACTCATGAGTCTCCGTGAGTTGGGATTGACCCCATGGCAGTTGGTTCCTGTCATGATTGGAAAAAGGCACAGAGTCCTTTTGCACCCACCAGCAGGGAGGTGTGAGGCCTATAGGACAGAGTGGGCTTCATATGGGATGTGTTGATGTTCAATCAGTGATCCTCTGTGCCAGTGTAAAAGCAAGGCCAGCTTCCACCCAACCAGGGAGCACCTCAACCCCTGTTTCCAGCAGGGTTGAATTCCTGTGGTTAAGCTTGCTTTGCACTGACCACTCCGAGAGAATGAGGAGGAAACAGCCCTACTCCAATATCCGTGCTGTCGAACACATCTAAGAGATGGCCCTAAAAGAAGGACTGACCTGTCCAGGTCCTCCCCGGCTGCTAATCCACTTAAGGCCTGGCTCCCTACACCAAACACTTTATTCTCAGGCTGTCCAGCTTGACTGTGCCTATTTGGCTGCCTTTATAAAATACTTTCTTTTAGGGTTCATTCTTATCCTGCCAAAATCCTCACACCGAATGAATCTAAATCTGATGACTCAGAAGTCCCTTGTACCCATTCATTTTTCTTTCTTGCTTCCTTCCATTCCTTCATTTATTCATCACCCTTCATCCCTACCCTGGAACCATCTCCATAATAGTTCCTTGTAAAAACATGCAGTAACGTAGTCTAGGGTAGACCCATGGTTCAAGGGCAGAGGGGCCCCGGGCGAGGAGGGACCCAACCACTTGGATGAGAAAGACGATGTGGTTGCTAGTTGCCATGGAGTCAGATCCAGTGGTGACCCCGTCTGTGCAGAATATGACGTCTCCCTAGGGCTGTCGAATCCATGACCTTTCAGAAGCAGGTCGCTAGGCTTGTCTCCCAAGGCACAGCTGGGTGGGATTAAAATTGCCAGCCTCTGCTAGCAATAGAGTGCTTAATGCTTCGCTTCCTCCAAAGGACTTTGTAAAAATAATGCAAAGAATGACAACCACTCTGGACCCCAACAGCAGGAGGAATGACTAGTCCAGTGTTTCATGCGTTGCTTCTCCCTGTGCATGTTTGCTTATTTGCCAGTTTGTTTACTGACTTGTTTGAGGTTACATAGATTATGTAATTTGGTTTTCCAATGTTCTCTGTCATGGACTTTTCAAGTAAATGTCCAGTCTCGTGGTTTTAAAGACCATCCAGTCACTGACAGCTCCCCCTTGAATAGCTCTGGTCCAGACCTTTCTCTTGAACTCCAGCCTGGTGCGGACACCTGATACTCAGCACACCCTTGGAACATCCAGTGGACACTTCGAAGTTAACCTGTTCCTCCCGCAGCTTTCTGTTGTCAGTTGATGGTGGCTTTATCCTTCC